TGAATTTTCCAGTCATCCCTTGGGAGAAAGAAGGTTTTCTGCTTCCATCAAGATTTACACCTTGGAAACCCAAAGGGGCAGCTCTATGGTGTCCTATAGGGTCACTCTGAGTGCATATAAAGACTAAAATGACTGCCGTGTCCTGGGGCTTTGTGTGCCCCGTAAGCACCATCACATTTCATCCTCACACAACCACCCTGGGGTACGTGTTCTGTAATTATGCCCATTTTGCAAATGGAGAAACTGAGGCCAGAAAGATAGAATAGAGCTTGCTCAGGGTTACTGGACCGGTAAGGGGGAGCCAAGACGGATGCCCAGGTTACGCTAATAGTGAAGGGGGGACGCCCACCCACCGGCCAGGCGCTCACCAGCTCCGCCTGAGTGAGCACCACGGTACCTGTCTGGGCTGAGGTTCTGGCCAGAGTCAAAAGCTCGCGCCACTAGGATCATAGACTGTCTGTCCCCCGCTTCAGCCGCCTTCAGTAAGTAATCGAATCCTTTTGTTTTATTCTCTTCTGTCTCCTGTCAACACAAACCAAAGCAGGGGAGAAGCAAACGAGAATTGAACTAGACGCGGCCGCCAGGATCTCCCTCATCAGTCTTCTCCCAGCAAATTATAAACATAAACTTATATATGCACATCACACGCACATACCCATATGAACAAGGACATGAACACACACACAGAGCTGTCAGAGAAGGGAGGAGCAGGGTGGGAGAGGAATGTTACTGTAAACCTCTTCATATTAAAAAACATTTTAAATAAAAACCTCTGAAAAGTCTTCCCATTCTCTAATAGCACAGGCCCCCTCCCTCCACTGAACCATGGCCAGGTCTCCTGAGGAGGGCCATGGGCTGGCCCAGTCACTCTGTCCATCTACACCCTGGACTCACGGGGTAGGGAGGATGGGGACAGATCTGCTAGCCTCTAACTCTCCCGAGGAAAGGTCTGTACTCCCTAGACCAGACGTCCTCAAACTACGGCCTGCAGGCCACATGCGGCCCGCCGAGTGTTTTTGCCCTGTTTGGTTTTTTACTTCAAAATAAGATATATGCAGTGTGCATAGGAATTTGTTCATAGTTTTTTTTTTAAAACTATAGTCCAGCCCTCCAACAGGTCTGAGAGACAGTGAACTGGCCCGTTTAAAAAGTTTGAGAACCCCTGCCCTAGACCATGCCAGATCTTGTCCTCTTTGAGTGCCAGGGCGGGGAGGAAGGAGCAGACTCCACTTGTTTCCCAATGCAACGATATCCTGTTATCTTAGACCTCACCCTGACCCGTGCCCTGTACCACTCCTCCTGCCCGGCCTCTAGTGCTGTTGATGGGCTTCCTGTCTTTTGGTTTACATCTTGTCTCTCACCTCTGGTCTGGACATATCCTGCCCCTTTTGCTGGACCTGCCCACCGCCCAAACTCGACGTGGCTGACGCTCATTCAGCCCGAAGGTGTAACTTAGAGACCCATCTCTCCATGCATCCATCCAACAAAGGTGAACTGAGCAGCTCTCGGTGTGCTGGCTCTGTTCTAAGCACTGAGGGGGTGCCCAGAACTGACCATGGACAGGAGAACAGAAGCCCCAGCCAGGAGCTCTTCTTCATGTTGCCCACAGGATTCTCACGATGTGGTGGCCTGATGAGGTGACTGTCACCTTTCCCCCAACCAAAGGCACACACCACTTCCACCCAGCCCAAAGCACACTGGGACATTGCCTGGCTCCATTATCAATGGCGGGATGGAGAAACAGGTTGACTGCGTCCCCTCACCTTCAGAGAGACATCAGCCAGGATGTGGTGGGGCAGCTGTGAGTACATGAGCCCCAGGCCTACGATGGCCTCCAGCTCGCCCAGGTCAGCCGCGTGTTCCAGGTGGAAGACCGCCGACTCCCGGTCCCACTCCTCATCCTTCTTGCAGAAGCGCCCACCCTCATGGTACCGCACCATGGCCAGATGCACCTGCCACAAGGACCTCAATGTCAGCCTGGCCATCTGGGAGCCCAAAGCCAAGCCCAAGGGCCACCCAGACAGCCTGGTGGAGGAAGTGATTAGCGGAGGGGTGTTTGAGCCTGGGGGCTCCGGATTAGTGCAAAGAGGATTCCAGAATGGGTATCATGGATACCTTCCCCAAAATGGACTTCCCGATTTTCTTTTCCTGGTCCAGAGTATTAAGCCTCTGCATTTCCAGGGCCACAGTGGAAGCCCTCGCCAGGTGGAGGCGGGAGGAGTTGAGGAGATTCCATTTCTCCACACACACCTGAAGGGAGAGAACGGGGCATGGCGGAGTTTACCGGCCAGAGAAGACAGGAGGCTGAGCGCTGGAAGCTCCTCACCGACACCGGCTGTAGCAGCCCTTGCTACCAGAGCCTGCTGGTGGGAGAGGGCGGAGAACCCTAGCTTTTCCATTTCCTTAGACCAGTGGTTCTCCACCTTCCTCATGCCGCGACCCTTTCATACAGTTCCTCATGTGGTGGTGACCCCCCAACCATAAAATGGTTTTCGTTGCTACATCATCACTGTCATTTTGCTACTGTGATGAATCGGGCAACTCCTGTGAAAAGGTTGTTTGAGCCCCAAAGGGGTCGCAACCCATAGGTTGAGAACCACTGCCTTAGACAAACACCACCTGTTTCTACTGATTCAAATTCAGCCAGCTCGTGGATGCCAAAGGATAGCTAGAGCAGAAAGGATTACAGCAGCTGGGGGGCAGGGGGGTGGGGCGGGTCCCCCTCTCATTCGGCAATATGGGTTTGGCTGAGCCCCACCACCCTCACCCAGCTCCCCAAGCAAGGTGCCAGAAGGGTCTGACTTCACACCTCACAGCAAATCCACTTTGCTTATCTCTGTGAATAACGACAGATGCCACACACTGGGGCAATGGGGCGCTGGGAAACAGGCTTAGGAAACACATCTTCCCTTCCAGGTCCAAAGGTTCTCTTGGGCCAGAGCCAGGCAGTGGTGTGTGTGCCGAGAATCAAACTTTCACTGAGGAGAAGAAAGCTCCTCGTAGGATAAGCCTGAGGAGTCAGGGTCACCAACGACTTTGAGAGGGCTGGCTTTCCAGAATTGGGCCTCTCGCTTCCCCATAGGGACCACATGGCTCTCTAGGTGCACCCCGCACCAGTGGCCTTTGGGTCAGTTCCAGCACATGGGGACCTCATGTATATTACAGTGGGACTGAACCCCCGGGGGCTGGAGGGTGGGGGGAGTCCATGGCTGGGTTTCTGGAAACCATTGCCACACCTTTCTTCTGAGGCACCCCTGGGTGGCCCCAAACCTCTAATCTTTCAGGGAGCAGCCAAGCACAGTCACTGTCACCCAGGAACTCCATCCAGAGCTCCCCCGTCTGACTGATTGAGTGGCACCAAGAGCGGGCCTAGGAATGTGCCTAGTGATCCAGCCACCAGGTACGTCAGCCCAGGGCACCCCACACCCTCTTCTCGAGCCCCATCCGGAGCTCCACCTCTTCTGCCAGGCCAGGCTCTCTCCCACCTGGAAGGTCCCTCTTCCCGCTCTGGTCCCGTCTCCCAAAATCCTACCTACCTTCAAGACTGGACCCCAGAGCCTTCCCTATCACGCTAGCAGACCGGCCTGATGATTTACCAGGTGGCATTTCCTTATCGGATTATGTCTTCTCGGCACGGTGTATCAACCGCAGTGCTCGTGCCATGGGGGCCTAGGTCATTCTGCGCCGTGGGAGCTGTCCTGTAGGACATTTGGCAGAGGACATCGAGGCTAGATGCTAGTAGCATCCCTGGTTGTGACAACCAAAAATACCACTAGACATTGTTCAGTGTCACCTGGGGGCACTATTGACTCAGGGTTGGGTTCACTGGCGTGGAAGTGAAGAGACCAGGCTTCGGGGATCTGAGGACAAGGGCTGGCTAGAATCCTGGACCTATCACTTCCTTAACTGGGGAGCCTGGGGAAGTCTCTAACCCTCCCGTTCTTACACATACAATGTGGTAGGTAGTTGTGATGGAATGGGAGGGTGTAAGAAGTCCATGAACCAATCCTGTAAACACCTACCTGGCAGTACTTTAACAGGTGGGTTCTGCTGCTATTAGTTCCCTTCAAGGATGGGCTGGTCCTCTCTAATCTCCCCACAAATGCCCTCAGCTCCGTACACAGCATCCTGCCCAGAACAGGGGCTCAAAGAATATTTACTAGTTTCTTTGCTCCGGAAGAGGAAGAAGGAAACCGAAGACTGAAGGAAGGAACTCATCTAGAAGACCAGTTGCTGACACAAACCATAGCCCCATAGCCTCACCTAGCCAGAGCCCAGGGGAACCAGCTGGTGCCCCGCTACTGACTGTTCTGACTCTGGTCACAATAGATGATCCTGAATAGAATGGGTTAAAATTATAGAGCAAATCTCAAGTTCTTTTAAAAAGCCCAGACTTATTAAACTTGTCGAGACTAGGGGAATTTCCTGAGGCTCCCTCCCTTTTAAACTTTAGACTGAAACTACTTTTCGGCTAAATCGAAGACTGTCTCGTAAAATAAACAGTATTCCCCGCCCCCGCCCCCACCCTGATGGCTGGGCTCCTTTTAATTTACACAATAACACAACCATTGTATGAGACCAAATGGTCAGGGTTTATCCGAGAGCAAAGAGGAGGAGGTTGGGAGAAGGGCAGGGAAACGAGAAGAAAAGAAAAAGAACCACCAGAATGGAAGAGTATCGCAACAACGTGGAAAATGTAGCCAGCGGCACTGACGTAAGGCAAAGAAACAGTTGAATAGGAATAAAATCTGCTGTGTAAATGTTCACCAGAAGCTCAATAAAATATTTAAAAAGGAAAATAAAAGGGGTGGGGACAGATTTTGCACCAGAGCAAATCTTCCTGTAGGAGGTGAGTGAGGCAAGCGGGCAGGCAGCGGCGAGCAGGGGAGGAGAATCGCAAACAGCTGGCAAAGGTAACAAGCCGGCAGCCAGAGAGTTCCTGGGGGTCATTACCCGTCCGGAGCTGCCCAGGCTGTCCTCGTCATACTCGCATCTCCGGTTCCCATTGGAGCAGCCCTGAATGGAGGCAGAGACACAGTGATTCAAAGAGGCCTTCTGCCTGGGGAACTGACTGCGCCCTCCTCAAGTGACTCTCCTTAGGGGGCCCTCCTCTGGGGAGCTGGTTCAACCCTCCCAGGTGACACCAGAGGCCTTGTCTGCTAAGCAGAGCGGATACTTGGGCAGCAGGCACGGACGCCTGTGCCAGTATAGTCAAAGCCTTAGGAACTTCTTTCCTTGTGTGTACGGACAGAGCCGGTTCAGAAGCATGGGATCCCAGCAGGCCCTTCTGGAAAGGGCCGTGGAAGCCACTCGAAATGGGGCCAAGTCCATCCTCTTGCCAAAACATTTTTTTTATTCACAACCACCAAGCTGAGGCCAAAGGTCTCCCAGCAAGAATGGACTTGGTGACAAGGTTCAATTTGGACACAGGGAGAAATCTCTGAATGGCGGGTCCTGGCTGGAGAAGCCAACGTCTGGGGCCCTTCCCAGGATTTGCTAACACTCCTTTGCCTTGGAAGCACTGCCATTTTGGTCCATTAACCAGCATCCTCAGCTTAGCCAAGAAAGGTTCCAACATCACTATAACAGTTGTCCATCATTTTCAACCTAATTGTGCCTAAACTAGCATATCTGTTTCTTTACTTGTGCCCGTTACCCTATCCTCTTCCTGCTTTTATCTTTATGGGATCTTGTTTATCCATTCACTTGTAAGCCTCTCTCAGGACCCTCCAGGGCCCACTGGGACTCGCTTCTGGTTCTTTTACCCTCCTGGACAAGGAAGTGATCTTGATCTAGTTTCCTCAGGGGTCCTTACGTGTTCTTCGGGCTCTGGGTCATCCAGCTCATTCTGCTTCTCGCTGGGGTAGCCGCTGTCCTTATTGTCCTCAGCGTCCTGTGGAGAGACGATGGCCTTAGGTTCCAGGGGTCCACTGAGTAGAGGGGTGACATTTGGGCCCCCCCAGCCAATTTCTCTCTCTCCTTTATCCCATAACTTGCACAATAATCTCTTCCTCTGGCCTCTTCCTGGTTAGGTGTCAGGAGGCAGTATAAAGCAGTGGTTAAGAGCAGGGTTTCTGCAGCCAGACAGGCTGGGTTCAAGTTCTGGCCCTGCGATTCACCAGCTGTGCCCTTGGGGAATTGCCTCATCTCTCGGAGCTGCTGTTTCCTTAGCCATGAAACCAGGATTAATGATGGCACTGGCATCAAAGGGTGAGAAAGTGCAACACGTGCTACTGAGAGTGGCTCACCTATTTCACAGGTGGAAAATAAAAACTGGTTTCAGGGATATGAGCCTGGACCAAAGTGCAGTTTTGAAAACTACTGACTACAACTGAGTCCTCTACCTAAATTACACAGGCTACCCAGGCGTAGGTTTGTTTATTTTTAATTTTCTAGATCTAAGGTCTGTTCTGAAAGGGAATCTGGTACTCTATTTATATATATAACATTTATATTAATCAGCAGGAAAACAGTTTCATACTTTGTCACCAGGGTTCCTTTTATGAATTCACCCTTCTTATTATCTTTACTTCAATAACCTTTTTATAAACTATGTTTTAATTTTTTAAAAAAACTGTGTTTTTAAAGATGCTAGGTATCACTCCCATAAGTGGAAGGAAGCCATTCAACATACACCATGGAAGCTTTGGCTTCTGGTCTGGGCAGGGATCCGCTCCACCCCAAGTATCCTTGATTTCCTAAAAAGGCCCTGCCTTGTCTCTGGAAAATGATAAAGCTTAATTAACCACTGCCCACACTGCCAGACCTTTGCTTTGTGAGCTAAAAGACAGTTGCTGTTTTGTTTTTTTAATATCTTAACTTTTAAAATTAAGGGACAAATAAATGCACAGACTTGAATGTAGAATCTCAAGAGTAAAAAGCTGTGTCTGAAAGTGGATGGTAGGTCAGACCCAAAGTGCCACTCCTGACACCTACCAACTACTGCAATGTGGGCTCACCCTCCCACTCTTGGAATCATTTCCAGTGAAGAACTCAGAGCCCAAGCTCAGGGACATAGAGCTTTATTTAAGCCCCACCTCTGGACTTCCATTCTGCCTCCTGAGCAAGACGGCCAACCTCCTGGAACCTCAGTGTCCTCACTGAGAAGCAGGGGAAATGCCCATCCTATTCTGGGGAAACCGAAGGCAGCAAGGAACTATGCGGGCAGCCGCAAAGGAAGGTGGCTACAGGATTCCACTGCCTGGGTTTTGAATACTGGCTTCATTTTTGGCCAGTGGAGTGACCTTGAGCTGGTGGTTCACCTTTGTTTCTGCATCTCTAAGTCAGGAATGACGAAAGTACTGACCCAGCATCTGCTAATACTGGGGGTAAAAAGTGGGGGCTGAAGGGCATGGGTGGGAGGGAGATTTTCACTGTGTAACTTTTCATACCTTTTCATTCTGAACCATGAGAAAGTATTCCTTATTCTAACATAAAAGAAAAAGTAATATTTTAAAATTTTCTCGAATTATTTTTAATTAAACAGCAACAAAAAAAATAACACCTCCTAAAGCTGCTGTGAATATTAAGTGAAAACTTCTTCCAAGCACTTAAAATATTAGCATCTGACTATAGTGTCTGGCTTCCTGGCTGAAAGTAAGGAGGACTTGAAACACTGGCTGACACATCTTTCAGCTGGTGGCTTTGAACTACTGACCTTATGGCTAGCACTCAAGCACACAAATCACTGTGCCACCAGGGCTCTTTTTTAGTTAGCAGCTGAGTGTGTAACCATTTGTGCCACCCAGTGACTCAATGTACATGTTTAATTTGACACTATAAAATATGTTGGAATGTAAATGCACTACCGTTGAGACCACAGGAAGCTGGAGGATTTGAGCTCTATTTAACAAACTCATGCGCATCGCAGCTGCAGGGATTATGTGTTCCATGGCCACATGGGCCTAAGAGACAACTGTCCACCATGTGTGGCTGAAGCAGACCCAGGGATAAGCTGCTGGTTTGGCTTCTCTCTTGTCTCGCCCCCTCTGGGAACTGGAATGGCCTCAGCTCCTTCCATCTGGCCATCCCTTGTCAACTCTCGAGTAGGACCCTCTGCTTTGGCCAGGAGGCTGAGATTTATCTGCATGACTCCAGGCCCTCCACGCATTGCCCAGAGCAGAATTAGGTGCCCCGTTCACTCTGAATCTGAAGACTCACTGGAAGTGAGTTTCCTCTACTAACCTGTGCTTCAGCTGCAGCCTACAGCCTCCCGCCCAACTCTTTACACTCACCTGGTGGTTGCTCAGGTGGTCATGGTCTCTGGGTGCCATATTATCCAGGTCACTGAACACTGGCCAGTCTGGACAGGGAGAAAATGGAGAGAATTCACTGGTTCCACTGCTGGAATGATTCAATCAATTAGATCAACCTAGGAAGGGCTGAACCTGCCACCAAGTCTTTTTTTCCCCTTTCCCTTTAATTATGTATCAAAACATTTTCAATTTCAACATTTTTTGCATGTACAATTCAATGGCATTCATCATATCCATCATGTTGTTCAACCATCAACACTATCCATTTCCCATCACCTTTAAAAGAAAGCTCAGTGTCCCCTAAGCAAGGATTCATCTCCCCCCACACCCCCTCCAACTTACCCACGGTATCTACTGGTAAGCTTTGGTTTCTATACATTTGCCTATTCTAGATATTTCATCTAAGTGGGATCATAACAATTTTTTATTTTCATGTTGTTTTCTATTTAATAATCTTATTGGGGGCTCGTACAACTCTTATCACAATCCATTCACCCATCCATTGTGTCAAGCACATTTGTACATATGTTCCCATCATCATTTAAAAAATATTTTCTTTCTACTTGATCCCTTGGTATCAGCTCATTTTTCCCACTCCCCCACCTTCCCTCCCTCATGAATCCTTGATAATTTTTAATTTTTTCCCTATGTTTTACACTGACCGACATCTCCGTTCACCTACTTTTCTGTTGTCTGTCCCCCATGGAGGGGGTTACATGTAGATCATTGTGATTGGCCCCCTTTTGTCCCCCCACCTTCCCCTTCCCCTCCTGGTATCGCTACTCTCAATATTGGTCCAGAGGGGTTTGTTTGTCTTAGACTCCCTGTGTTTCAAGCTCTTATCTGTACTAGTGCACATCCTCTGGTCTAGCCGGACTTGTAAGGTAGAATTGGGGGTCACAATAGTGGGGGTAAGGAAGCATTAAAGAACCAGAGAGGAAAGCTGTATGTTTCATCAATGCTGTACTGCACCTTGACTGGCTCATCTCCTCCCTGCGACCCTTCTTAAGGGGATGTCTAATTGCCTACAGATGGGCTTTGGGTCTCCACTCTACACTCCTCTCATTCACAATAATATGATTTTTTGTTCTGGGTCTTTGATGCCTGATACCTGATCCCACTGACACCTCATGATCACGCAAGCTGGTGTGCTTCATCCATGTGGGCTTTGCTGCTTCTCAACTAGATGGCTGCTTGTTTAACTTCAAGCCTTTAAGACCCCAGATGCCATATCTTTGATTGCCTGGCACCATTAGCTTTCTTTACACATTTGCTTATGCACCGCTTTGTCTTTGGTGATCATGTTGGGAAGGTGAGCATCATGGAATGCCAGGTTATTAGAACAAATGTTCTTATGTCGAGGGAGTACTTGAGTAGAGGCCCAATGTCCATCTGCTACCTTAATATTAACCTATAAATATATGTACATAGTCTATATATATCACCATATATAAACATATTTACATATGTACATGTTTGTATTAAGAGCTCTATCAATGCCCTTTGCCTCCGAGTTCTGTCCTCTATTTCCTTTTACTTTCCTCTTATTTTAGTATCATGTTTGGCCTTCATTCGGGTTTCAGTAATTCCTCTTGGTTACATTGACCTTGATCAATCCCTACCAGGCGTCCTATACCCTCCTTGCCATCGATTTTAGATTACTTGTTGTTCCTCTTGTCTTTTTATGAATGACTTATCTGATATAGCATAATACTTGCAAAGTTCACTTATGTTTCATGTTGAAGCATTATGAGGATTTTATTTCTTGTTATGGAAGAGTAATATGGCAGAGTAATTGTGTGGATATACCGTGAATTGTTTATCTATCTATCTGTTTTTTAATTTTTAAAGAAGGGAGCAAACTGGGAAAGAATAATGTCAGCATCCACGTGAGGGTGGGGAGGAAGGAGCAACAATTCTTCCTCAAGAACGTAAGCCACTGCGTCTCTTGGTCTCTACTGACATGGAGCGAAAAGAAGGAAAGAACCAAAGGCTCAAAGAAGCACCGAGTGGGCAGCCTGTGCCCACACAACTCGATGGTGTCCACCTACTGCTACTGACCATTTTGATCAGAGACACAGCAGAAGGCCTGAAACCAAATGGAAGAAAAATTTGCAACAAAATTCAAATCCCTAATAAAGGCCAGACAAGCTAGATAGAACCCTGAAAATACCGCTTTAAGAGATCCCTTGAACTCAGAACTACAACTTTTCTGGAGGTCATTTGCAACCAAATAATAGACAGCCTTATAAAATAAACAGGATCACTCATGCGTCATGTACTCCCTTAAACAATGGAGTCTGCGAGGCCACACAGTCAACATTTACCCCAAAGCAAAGAAGAGCCGGCAAGGAGGGGCAGAAGGCTCGCTCAACAGAAACAGAACCAATGGGAACAGGAGGGACCTCATGAGAATGCTGACGCGCTGCCAGCTGTGATGAATGGCACGGAACACGCAGTATACACACTGTTCAACAAAAGCCTGATTCGCTGCATAAACTTCCACCTAAAATGCAATAGAGTGTTATTTAGGAACACAAAAAGAGACTTACAGTTACTGTGACTGCCGATCCCGGTACATTACAGAATCCCTCAAAAACAAGCAGGAAAACCCACCACGGAAGAAAAGTCAGGTGCCGGGAATATCAGAAGACAACGGTAACCGTGAAGTGAAGGGAATGAAGCAAGCCTGGACTCTTCCACACCCCGGGGCTGCAGACAGAAGGACTCTTCCACACCCCGGGGCTGCTTTGCCTGGGAGGACGGGGGAGGGAGGGGGTGGGGATCAAACCAGCCCTGTTTCCTGAGGAGTCCTGAGACCTGGACAGGGCACTGGCCCACACTCTAGCAAGGAAACAGGGGCAACAGAGTTTGTGTGGGATACTGTCCTTTTTTTTTTTCTCACCGAACAAGTAGGGTTACAAGCAGGGCAGGGCCAGATTCCTCCCTCTCACTCATTGGCAGCTGCCTATGGGCTGAGACAAACAGAGAAGACACAAGGTTTGTTTTTTAAAGTTATTTTTCTCTTTTCTAAACCTGCAGAGCTGTGTGAAAGAGGCACCAGCTAGAAATTCCCCACAGTTCTTTATGACCGAGGGGCGGAACCCATCCAAATAGTTCAAAAAGGATGCCTCCCACATCCCCGTTACTGTTCTCTGGGGCTGCAGGGAGAGTCTACCCAAACAGTGCTTTTTGTGTGTTGGTTTATATTCCTTTCCTGCACAGTTTAAGAGTTAACTGTCCCCACATGACTCAATGATCTTCCATTCCTAACAGCTGCACCAAGCTGTTATGGAGACAGTAGTTAATCTTAGTCACACAAAGAAGCAGGAAAGACTGACACAAACAAATGACCAACATATAGACCCAAAGGACCTGAGGAATCAGACATTGGCACTACCATAAAAAAAATTCAGGAGAATGATATTCAGGTACTTCCAAGAGATGGAGAAAAAGATCAAAAGAGCTATGGGTTCAAGCAAAGAAGCAATAAGTTCACATGGAAGAAGCACACCATCCTGTGTGATCATGAGGTGTCGATGGGATCAGGTAACAGGCATCAAACAAACAAACAAAAATCATATTGTGGAGAATGAGGGGGAGCAGAGGCCCAAAACTCATCTGTAGACAATAGGACATCCCCTCACAGAAGGGTCACAAGGAAGGGATGAGTCAACCAGGGTGCAGTACAGCACTGATAAAACACACAGTATTCCTCTGCTTCTTTGTGGCATCCTCACCCCCACTATCATGACCCCAGTCCTACCTTTCAGTTCTAGCTAGACTGGAGCATGTACACTGGTACAGATAAGAGCTCACAACACAGAGAATCCAGGTCAGATAAGCCCCTTAGGAACAGAAACGGTTGTAGCGATCCCAGGAAGGTAGGGAGAAGGTGGGAGGAAGAGGGGAGGAAGGGGGAAGAACAACAGAAAGGTGGGTGAAGGGAGACAGCAGTCAATGTAAGATAAGAAAATAATGATAAATTATAAATTATCAAAGGTTCACGAGGGTGGGGGGGCTAGGGAGGGAAAAAAGAGGAGCTGATACCAAGGGTTCAAATAGAAAGTAAAGGTTTAGAAAATGATAATGGCAACACATGTACAAATATGCTTGATACAACTGATCTATGGATTGTTGTGAGCTGTAAGAGCCCTAATAAAACGATCTTTTGTGGTGCCCAGCTATCAAAAGATATAGCGTCTGGGGTCTTAAAGCCTTGAAGGTAAACAAGCGGCCGTGTAGCTCAGAAACAACAAAGCCCCATGGAAGAAGCACACCAGCCGGTGTGATCATGAGGGGTCGAACAGATCAGGTATCAGGCATCAAAGAACAAAAAAATCAGATCATTGTGAATGAGGGGGAGTGCAGATTGGGGACCTAAAGCCCATCTGTAAGCAACTGGACACCCCCTTACTGAAGGGTCACGGGGAGGAGACGAGCCAGTCACGGTGAAGTGTAACAACGATGAAACATACAACTTTCCTCTAGTTCTTAAATGCGTCCTCCTCTCCCCATAACTATCCCCCCACACATCATGATCCCAATTCTACCTTACAAATCGGCTAGACCAGAGGATGTACATTGGTACAGATAGGAACAAGAAACACAGGGAATCCAGGACAGATGATCCCTTCAGGACCAGTGGTGAGAGTGGCGATACCAGGAAGGTGGAGGGAAGGTGGGAGAGAGAGGGGGAATCAATCACAAGGATCTACATATAACCTCCTCCCTGGAGGACGAGCCACAGAAAAGTGGGTGAAGGGAGACGTCGGACAGTGTAAGACATGACAAAATAATAATAATTTATAAATTATCAAGGGTTCAAGAGGGAGGCGGGAGCAGGGAGAGAGGGGGGAAAATGAGGAGCTGATACCAAGGGCTCAAGTAGGAAGTAAATGGTTTGAGAATGATGAGGGCAACAAATGTACAAATGTGCTTGACATAATGGATGTATGTATGGATTGTGATGAGTTGTATGAGCCCTCAATATAATGATTTAAAATAAATAAATAAAAATAAAATGCTCTTAAAAAAAGAAATATGG